TTATTAAGTGTTATCCTACATTACAATCAATTCTGTGGCAGGCAGCAATATTCCATGGATATCACAGCGCTTACAAACCCAGTGGTTGACAGCATGAGCACCTGCCACATGCTGTTGTGTCATGATGACATAGTGACACCTAATCAGTTAATTAGTATTAAATTACCCAGCATGTACATTGTACAGAGATTATTCTGTTTCTGAATCACTAAAACATTTTGTACAGTTGAGAACTTCTAAAGAACGAGTTTAAATATAGTAGCAAGTATCATGCAACATTTGAGTTGGCATGTTACACACCTTGTTACAATGTTCGAGGGAAATCACAAGTTTAATGCAGCACTCTTAATTGCCCTTAAGGGAAATCGGTTAATTTCTTGCTCAACATCTTGCACTTCACCAAGAATCTTTCTCTTGGCAAAGGACCATTAAAAGAAAGCCAGGTAGAATCCACAGGTTATCGATGCAACACAATCTGGCAGTCTGACAGATAATATGTCTATTTCATGTAGATAGAAAAGATCAGGAAATCTGACAGCCACACAGCAACCTTACACAGGTATCAACACACGAATAACCCCTTACCCCCTACCGACCCCCACACAGATAGTTACATGGGTCATAACACAGAAATAAGCCCCTACCCACCCCCACACAGATACTTACATGGGTAATAACACAGAAATAACCATTTCACTCACCACAACTTGTTGCCGACATCCAAATTTCAGCATAACTCTGTTACATATTACTTCACTACACAATTTTTTAAATGGCTATGCACAACTGTGTCCTAAAACAATACACTACAAGAAATACCATAAAATCAATCAGCATTTTTACTTTATTTAATAGTCTATAATTTACTAATGTACTCATTGAACTGGAAATAGTAACTGACAAGTTTCTTTGCAAAGAACGAAATCCTATCAATCATGAAATCATATACATTACATATTGAGCAGCCTACTACTTGTACACTGGTACAATCTGTGTTATAATTAACCCTGCTTTGACTACTTACTGTTATCAGTATGATTAATGAGATCCCTACACCCATAACAGTATAAGCCACTACACGAATTCATCAATGTGATCAACACTGACGTATGTGTTTATGCCTTGAACATTGCATGTATCCTTCATTTAACCAATCTGTGACAAAGTGTACAGTAGTGGAATAGTGTGTATTCTATGTTCACCTTGTGACTTGTGTATTTCACAGATATTATAAAATAACCCATCTGTGACAAAGTGTATATTCTTGGATTAGTGTGTATTCTATGTCTATTTCACCCTGTGCCTTGTACATTGCATGGATATTTTGAAATAACCAGTCAAGTGTACAGTCCTGGATTAGTGTGTACTTTATCTTAGTTTACCCTGTATGTTGTATATAGCAAGGATATTCCACATGACGAATCAGTGACAAAGTGACATACAGTCCTGGATTTGTCTATATTCTATATTCATTTCACCCTGTGCCTTGTATATATATTGCCTTGTATATTGCAAGGATATTTCATTTTAATCAGCCCAACTGTGTATTCAATATTTAGTTCACACTGTAACACAACAGGACCTGTGAATATATTAGTGGTGTAACGATTCATCGATAGTATTGATGTTTACATCGTCAACTACGCGATACAAGTGCATCGATAGAAAACACATTTAGGCAATATATAGGATAATTATATCGCGAGGGTCCATGATACATTGATGTATCGCCACAAGAGACGACATATCCCGATACAACTTAAATACTACTTAAAGTTGTAAGGAGTATTGCATTAGGGAATAGGAAAGGAGTCTCTTTGAAATTCTTCTGAATTTTAAAAACAAACTGAATTTTAAAGGAATTTGTTTGTGTCTGTTATCTTTCTTACATGGACAAATGAGTTAGTGTATATACAGTCAAAGAGTGTGAACATTTTACAAACTCTGTGACCTGTAGAATACTTGTGTTCAAGTAATTGAAATATGCAGATATGTCTTAGTTGTTTGACAAATAACACCATTTATAAACAGCTATGAACGACGTCTTATCTTTGTTAAGAAGAGAACAAAGAGAAGATAAAATTTAGAAAGCAGACTTATGAGTTTTTTTCAGTGATTCTGAATTCCGATATAAATGACAGTGAATTGTTTGTGAAAGCATTGGTGTAGAAGCACAACTTCCCAAGGGAAACTTCACTTTCAAATGTATATATATATATATATATATATGATCAAGGTATGCTGAATATGTTTGACTGTACTGTCTTAAGCATTAAATACTGAAACTTAATTAGATGAACAGCTGTTTAAGTGTGGGTGAATGTAAAACAAGTTCTGCTGTATAACAAATAAAGTTTCAGTCATTTTATCTACCATATCTGTTCTTTTTATAGAAATTGTAAAGTATCGGGATATGTATCATACAGGCACAATTGCATCGTGATGATAATCGCCTCGCAGGTTCCTTGCCAATACTTTCATGATGTATCATCTCGCCTCATTAAACAGATATCGGGATACATCGTCTCGCCACTTAAGCCACGATACACAGCTCTAGAATATATGCACTTGCAAAACCATTTTGCAAAATCAATAGCTCAGTGTAGATTCCTAGGTAGGTGTATATGGCAGTGCACATTCCCAGATTGGTGTATATCCTGTGTTTCTTTCACCCTGTCTCAGAGGACACTCCAGTTATATGTGCATGTGTACTGCACTGTCGCCTCACTTGACAACTAATCAGTGACACAGTGCACATTCCCAGATCGGTGTATATCCCATGTTTATTTCCCTCTGTCTCAAAGCTGACACCACACAGCGGTAAACTGGAGGGGGCATCACATGGCATCAGTGTCATTACCTGTTAACTGCTACAACCCTAATCAACATGTCAGGAATTTGAAGTAATGTGTTTGCCAGAACCCTCGGAATGCTATGTGCAAATTAAATCAATGCCTATCTGCTAGTGGAAGCAAGACAAGTATGTATACATATCAAGTCAATTTCCAGTTGGCTGAAACTGTTCCCCTAACGATAAAACAAAAATTATTTTTTCAGACAAAAAAACAACATAAATAGCACTGTTCTCTATTCTCTTATTCTGTTAGTCTTGTCTCATTGTATTCTTCTATTGTCTTGTACTGTTCATCTTCTGTCTAACTGAGCTCACCTACTACGGTCCACCACAGTTCATTAATTGTTTTCGTGTCTTCATCTATGTTCTTATTCTGTTTCTACAACCTTCTCCAATTTCAGTCAACATTTATTGATACATCAATTACCTATGTTAAACTGGTTTCTCCGATTCCAATTGGTTTCTGGAATGAGGTGACCTTAACCCTGTATGCAGGTAGTGAAGGTGAAGGTTGCTAGACAAACAAGGCTATCTGGCAGTGTATGGCAGTTCATGGTTATCAGGCAAGTGGTTCAGTGAAGTATTTACAAATATGGATCTGTAGTCAAGTTACCACTGGTGTGTAGTGTGTTGGTGAAACAAAGCCCCCACAAAATCTGGGGAGATGGTTGAATGAATTCCTGTGAAACTTGATATCAAGTAAACATTGCTGTTGAAATAAATATAGATTATGAATTTGACTATTGTAAACAAACCCAAATACTATCATGTTGAAACTGTATATCAGATTCAGTGGTCTCCAAAAATACTTTATTTGGATTTCCAAAGTTATATTCAAGTTTAAGGGACCTAATTTAGATTAACATCACATTGGGTTTTATTGTCTCCGAGGTGATTTTGTATTTAATAAAGTTTGTATTATTATGAGATTCTAAATGTTATCCGATTCGCAATTACACAACAAACTTAAATATATGCTTTTACACATAAATAGGAAAGCAGCATGTACATTTTACATTATATTATGAAACATGATATTTAGTTATATTTACCATCTCTATATCTTAAATGTTGCACATGTGTAACATTTGTAAATAAACTTTTTCATCTTTCATTGATGCATAATAATTATATACACACTGCAACGGGTGGTTAACACGCATTATATTATGAAACATGATATTGAGTTATATTTACCATCTCTATATCTAAAATGTTGCACGTGTGTAACATTTGTAAATATACTTTTTCCTCTTTCATTGATGCATGATAATTATATGTACACTGTTACGGTATGTTCACACACTATCTGACTCAGCAAATTAGCACTGGTATACTATAAAACAGATATACATATATACAATGGTTACATAATGCTGTTTGTGAAGTACCCGCTCCCAAAAAACAAGCCAGTCAGAAAGTGATCCTATTGAGCTGATGCATTGCACAGAAACGGGTTTTAATAATTGAATTGACTGACATCCTGCCAAGTTTCCAGCCATGTTGCCGGTCGGGTGAATACACTATATATAGACCCCGGCTTCGTTCACAATCGCATGAAAGTGATGAGTCGGCTATCTGGTCGAGCGACTATGAAATCTACAAGCACGCTATGAAATATACAACTGTTACATCACGCGACGCGAGGTGACATTTGACATGGATGACACACGCGACAGGTGCTTAATTATACTTAGTTAATTATAATCATATGCTAAATATTCACATACGTGTGATAGCACAATAAACGGCAATTAAGCAGATGGGGTTTGATTGTCCGCTTCCGGACCACAGACGTTAGCACCTGTGAGATATACAATAGATCCGAGCCTTTGAGAACCTGTTAACTTTTCAGGGAGAGTGCGTCAAGTTGAAATAGTCCATAATGTCACATAGTACCTGGTGTATAAATACGATCGGTATATCCGAGCTGAAAGTTTGCAATCACTTCACTGGACGCTGGCTACAGTTATGAATATGACACCGCAGTGTAGGGTAAGGCTCCCAAACATGGGCACCGGTTAGCAAATCGTAATGAACGCCATGCTTCCGCATGTAAGTTTGTCGATCGCTTTTACCAACGCGGGGACGAAACACACGTTTGTCAGATCCAGTTTGCAAAGAAAAGACTGAATATCGCACTCACCTTTCAGCAGAATCGGTGGATTTAGGAATGGGTCGGGTCAGTACTCTCAATGCAGCGCCGGGTAGTATAGGATGGTCCTTGTGCGCAGACTATGATGCGCAATGTACCCACGCTAAATTCATAGCGTGCCAGTGAAATGACAGCGCGGCAAAGGGAGGTAATCTGTGTGGGCAGGGAATGTGGGAGAAATTTGCATTGTGATATATATGTGCAGACCTTTTGTTTTTTTGTACAGTGAGACATCATTTCTCTACGGAACTGGATATATTTTTCAAAACGAATCTATTAAATTATCTTGAATTATAAATAATGTTTGAAAGTTTCATAATCTAATTTATATTATTTGCTCATGACAAACATGTATCATAATACATCAACATTGTGTTATTGTTATTAATAATTATACTGTTGTTTTTGTTGACGTTGTGTTTCGGAATGTAAGACCTACTGCAATGGAATGCTCAAACTCAGCCAACTGTTGTTATTCAATAAATACCAATGTCTACTATTAAAGGTTAGACGGTATTGATCGATTTCAGTTGCTTACGTGACTCGCCTTTCCACAAAGCTGATAGCCTATCGGGGACGTATACAACTACACTACTTGTATCGCCACCACATCCGTGATACACAATCACTAAAGGCTACTGCAATTAAACGATTAAAGTTTGTTTTTTGTTTACCTCCACACAATGTTCATACAGCATTATTCCGCCTCAACAGCAGCATTATTCCACCTCAACAGCAGCATTATTCAACCTCAACAGCAGCATTATTCCATCTCAACAGCAGCATTATTCAACCTCAACAGCAGCATTATTCCATCTCAACAGCAGCATTATGCCACCTCAACAGAAGCATTATTCAACCTCAACGGCAGCATTATTCCATCTCAACAGCAGCATTCTTCCACCTCAACAGCAGCATTATTCCATCTCAACAGCAGCATTATGCCACCTCAACAGCAGCATTATTCAACCTCAACAGCAGCATTATTCCATCTCAACAGCAGCATTATTCCATCTCAACAGAAGCATTATTCCATCTTAACAGCAGCATTATTCCACCTCAACGGCAGCATTATTCAATCTCAACGGCAGCATTCTTCCACCTCAACAGCAGCATTATTCAACCTCAACAGCAGCATTATTCAACCTCAACAGAAGCATTATTCCACCTCAACAGCAGCATTATTCAACCTCAACAGCAGCATTATTCCATCTCAACAGCAGCATTATTCAACCTCAACGGCAGCATTATTCAATCTCAACGGCAGCATTCTTCCACCTCAACAGCAGCATTATTCAACCTCAACAGCAGCAGCATTATTCCACTTCAACAGCAGCAGCATTGTTCAACCTCAACAGCAGCATTATTAAACCTCGATAACTGCAACCTGCAAAAAATCACTTGGACCAGACAAACCGGTGATTGGCACTGTGAGCAAGTTTCCACACCATCAGAGTACGAGTCATCGAGTCTGACCACCCGATTCGAACAGCATCGATTGACGATAATCCGTTCCTTCCAGCCAGGAGGGCGGTGGGGTAGCCTAGTGGTTAAATCATTCGCTCGGGTTCGATTCCCCGGCTTCGATTCCCCACATGGGTACAATGTGTGAAGCCCATTTCTGGTGTTCCCCGCTGGGATATTGCTAAAAGCGGCGTAAAACTAAACTCACTCTCTCACACCTACCCGGAATCACCTACAAAGTGCTGTTATCCCAACCACGTACTTCAGTGACTGCAACGACCACTGCAGGACCGCCATTGTTACTACAAAGACCACCATCGGAACAACTGCGACTAAAACGACTACTTCTACAAAAATATTTGCGACGACTACAACGACCATCTCCAAAAAAGAAACATTGCCACTACTGTGACTATACAAGTACTATCACATAAATCATTGCCTCAACTGCGACTACAACCACTACTATCAATGTTACAACTGCACCTCCCACTACTGATACATCTACGACTATAACGATCGCCATTGCTACAACTGCATCTACAGTTAAATTTCACTCAACATTTGAAAATATGAAAACAATAAAAGTGTCCATGTAAAGTTTAATAGGTGGATATTGTGACCATAAGAAGACGGCAGAACAGCATGTTTAATGTCCATGACATTGACGTTATGGTTGGTTGGTTGGTTGTTTAACGCCCCACTCAGCAATATCCCAGCCATATGACGGCGGTCTGTAAATAATCGAGTCTGGACCATGCAATACAGTGATCAACAGCACAAGCATCGATGTACGCAACTGGGATATGATGACATGTGTCAACAAGGCAGCCATACTGACCACCCGATCCCGTTAGTCGCCTCTTACGAGAAGCATGGGTTACTGAAGACCAACGCTAACCCTGCTCTTCACGGGTCTCTTATGTTTAGAACGGTCAAACAATTAACCCTCCCAAACGGACAACTGTTTTTAACATTATGGTGCTCCAAACAGTTTGTCAATATGCACATGCAACCAAACATGTTGCACGTGCCCATGCCGAAACCAATGACGTCACGAAATGTAGCACGTGCATATAAGTTCACTTGCAGGGACGTAGCTACTATTATAGAAAAATGCTCGGTATTACACATGATTGTTGCTAAAAAGGTTGGACAAGCCCTCAATACTATCTAAATTATAAAAGTTTGCAACCTATCGGGCTTACACGAAAAAATTGACTTGTGTTCAGTTCACTTATACTAGCGTGTTTACGTCTGTAATTGAGTACACATGAAGATCCAATAAGTATTTGGATATTCTATGCGCACATTTTCTATTTGTAGCTAGTATACATTATAATGAATTGTGATACAAGTCAGGCAGTGTACGACCCCTGTTTTAAGCGCAGCTTTACAAAATAACCCAAACATTACAAGCGATAACAGTCTACCGACGAAATCATCCCTATAGAAGCTGCACGGCAATGTGTGTCTACTTTAAACCCCGTTCACACCCATTGTGGTTAAAAAGCTATTTTCAAGGCTGCCATCCAATTATTAAACCCCATATAAAAGTTAGAATGTAGTCATCCCCAAATCGTTAGGGAAGCTATTTATTACCACAATAGCCGTTACTGTCGTGGTTCAGATTGCACGTCAATCCTAATTTGATATATGTAGGAGATTTCAATCATGTTTTTGGCAATGTATCGAATTATTGAACCTCTTGGTAAGGGCAGATAACTCTGATTTACAACAGTGAGGCAAGGATCTTCGTACGTTTCATAAGCAGCATCCCCTTTTCACTAATATATACTCATGGAAACAAATAAGGGAACACATGAAAGTACAAATGTTCCTTTATTCTTTTCCAGGTTTCTTCACAAGGTATGTGTTGCAATGTGGGTGAAATTCTGGAAATAAAAAAGGAACACTTGTACTTTCATGTGTTTCCTTATTTGTTTCCATGAGTATATAATATAAAGTTATGGTGTTATATGCCATGAGTATATAATATAAAGTATGGTGTTATATGCGATAATCCGATAGAAATAAACTTTGCATCATGATTCGAAACTTACACTGCAGAAACTATTTTCGTAGTCTGTCATACAGACCCTGAAGCAAATATATCTAAGAAATCCCACGCAAGTCTAGAAAATGTGGCACTCTAGATTTCCACAGCTTCTGAAAATGAAGAAAGTCTCAGGGCTCCTTTTTATTATATTTTGTTTTTCACTATGAGCCTTTTTTCTGTAAAATATGTTCATTTTAGAGACTAGTTGTTAATCTACTATTTTCGTAATCTCCATACAATCGTGAAAGAGAACTACTATCACCTGACACTCCCAAGAGTGGAGTTTTGTGTTTCCCTCTGTGTGGATGTCTCTGTACACACATACGATTTAAAACAGTTTCGCACTATATCCTAAATGTGACTCTTCACTCCAACGTTGTATTCATACGCATCTTGTTACGTTACTTGAGGTCGTGGAATGTCATTTTAAACGTCAATAATTTTACATTTAAGGGCTAATCATCCTCATGTATTTCCGCATCGCTGATATCATATCGGGAAAAACCAATATGTACATTTCGTATTACTCATATACGATGTTTACACGACGGAATCACGCGAGTTTAATGCTGTTGGCAGTAAACGACTTATGCTTCATCTTACTGCTTCTTGCACTGCCCGGGCGGTGGGGTAGCTTAGTGGATAAAGGGGTCGCTCGTCACGCCGAATGTCTGGGTTCGATTACCCACATGGGTACAGTGTGTGAAGCCCATTTCTGGTGACCCCTGTGATATAACGAATATTGCTGAAAGCGACGTAAACCTCAACTCGCTCTTGCACTGACCAACCTTTTCAACCCATTATAAAGAGTGAGTTTAGTTTTACGGCGCCTTTAACAATATTCCAGCAATATTACGGCGGGGAACACCAGAAATGGGCTTCACACATTGTACCCATGTGGGGATTCGAACCCGGGTCTTCGGCTTGACGAGCGAACGCTTTGACCACTAGGCTACCCGCCGTCCCTCAACCCATAATAAAGGGTCCATGAATGTTTGGTAAGGTAGTCATGTTACAGCTGATGAGGAAATGACAGGAACAATTCTGAATCAAACTGTATACACTTATTTATGTTTATAAATTACAGATCTGGTTAAGGGTGAGATTTGCCGATCTAACACATCTTCGACACGGCTAACTAACGCCTAACATACACGAGATACTCCAGAGGTCCATATAAACAACTTCCCTGGCTGATTCATTAGCAAGGAGTGAGCTGTCGAGCAGGAGTGCCCCTTTAAGGATGGTATTCGCTGTACTTTGACTCCCTTTGCTGAAATATGTATGCTGCATAACTGAGGATGCATCTACATTTCGTCTCTAGTACTTGGACAAAAATTAAATTGAATTATGACTGATTTGCGTTTTCAAAATATACTGAATTATTTCGAACTTGGCCGATACACCCATACTCCACTGAAAATAATTCCGTAAAGATCCGGGTTAGAAGTGATTGGGTAGTCAGGCTCGATGACTTGATTGATGCATGCCATCGTATACTAGTTGAATACGTCGATGTGCATGATGCCAATCACAGGATTGTCTTGTTCATTCTCGATTATTTATAGCCTGTGGATATATACCTGGAAAATTGCCGAGTGAGGCGTTAAACAACTAACAAATTTTCAGAAAACCATACATTTTAAACCGGTTTTACAAACAAGCATCAATCGCCTGCATTTTATTTCCGTATTCATTATATTATATGAAACCGATCACATGCAAAGTCGTGACACAGTGGGGTAAAGGTTTGTTTCCGATAATAAGGTCATCTGAGTCATAACAGGCTAGTGTTTGATTCCTTCACCGAGCTGCACTCCTTCACTGCTAGTGGCGACTTGACGCGACTAAGCCGGACGTCGAGAATATATACTACTCAAAACAAGTTAAGGGTAAAAAAATTTAATGGCCATAACTACAAATATAAATAACAGTAAAATGTAGCGATCATATAACAACTCGAGCCAACATTTCATGATAACCAAAAACAGCAGGGATGTCAGTGATTGCTGATCAATAAGGTCAAAGTGACCTACTGTCAGAAGTGAAAATTCAAACGAAAACATTGGACTAATAACGGATGTAACCACCTCGAGCAGTAAGACAAGCAGTACACCTATGTCTCATACTGTTCACCAGACGTTGGAAGAAGGCTTGGGGTATTGTCTGCCATTCTGCAATGAGATACTGGGCTAGTTCTGCACGGTTGTTTGGAGGGGCGTGGTTGTTACGAAGCCGACGTCCTTACTCGTCCCAAGCATGTTCCATAGGGGCTAAATCTGCTGAATATGCCGGGCATTCCATGTGCTGAACATTGTTCTGTCTACGGAAGTCCGTCACAACATGGGCACGTTGTGGTCGGGCATTGCCACCTTCGAATATGGATCCGACGCCTGTACGTTGTAAACATTGCAAAACAAGGGGTCTGATAATCTCCCGTAGATAGCGATTTCCGGTCAGGGTACCATTAATGACATAGAGAGGTGCCCTTTGATGAAAGGAAAACGCACCCCAAACCATGACACCCCCGCCTCCAAATGGCAAACGTTGGTTGACGTTAACGTCAGCAAACCTCCCTCCTGGACGCCGATACACACGAGTTCTACCATCATTGAACTGTAGAGTAAACCTAGACTCGTCGGAGAAAATGGTTTTGAATAAACTGCCATACACGGAATGTAAAATTTTATTTATACATAATGCAACCAGCCTCAACAAAAACATTACATGATGACATCGCATGACCCTTAACTTGTTTTGAGTAGTATACATAGGTGGGTTCATATACACAGTTGCGCAAGTCTGAAGGATTGACGTGCTTTCCTGTTTCATTGTCATACCTATACA